TCAAATTTTGGATTCACTTCTTTCTCTCCTAGATGCTGTAGATATTGCAGATGCTTATTTTCGTCTCAGCACCAATAAAAACATCTATTTGAATTTTTGGGTCTTTTGACTTCATTTTGTTTTGAGATTGAATCTAATATTAATATACTAATAAATAAACGTAGTTCATTAATTAGATTAATATCAATTACACTAACACTCTTCTTATTTATTTATTTCTTTTCATATTACAAGATACAAGCCCAACCGACTCAAATCTAAGCCATTACAAGAAGGATCTAACAGTCCTAACATTAAACAAATTTTGGCTAACCATAATTTTAGGGTCACTCCCTCCATCATCGTTAGAGCCACTCCTGCCGCTGTCGCCAATTCTGAAGTCGTCACTATTGCTGACAAACATCTCCAACTGCTTCACTATCATCATCTCAACAAGAACAAATATAAAAGAAAACCAAATTATCAACCAAATCAAAAACCCATTAAAAAAAGAGATTAAATCCCGAAAATCCTGGATGATTAATGCTTGGGTTGGAACAATCATCACCCCTCTCTCATAGCTTCACCAAACCATCACCAAATCAAAATGGAACCACACAACAAGATAAAATAGGATAGAACAGCAAAAATAAAAGAGGGAGAGCTTTTTATTTGAAACAAAAATACTCAAAGAAAAGGAGAAAGAAAAACGCTAAAAAAAACTTATTATTTTCGTTCAAGAATTACTACCGTCGCTTGCAGGAGCCTAGAAGCCTCCCGATCGTTGAAGGTAACTCTTCTCTCGTTTCATCTTGAATTGTGGTGATTTTAGATCGAAAAGGGAGCTAGTTGGTTTTGTTTTCTTCCAAAAACTAGGAAAAAAACAGAGAACTTTGTTTTCTGGAACAAGAGAATGGCAGCCAAATGGGTGTATTAGGGTTACTTGAAGCCATAATACGGCTTATTCATATTCTTAAAACACTGCCATTTAAATGTTTAGGGTGATAAAACCATGCTTAGGAAATGTGGGTTATTTACTTGACAAGGGTTCCATCTTTTGTAACATTTTAATTTTAGCAACTGAATGAAGTTTTAGTTATTTCAGTTTCGTGCCTTTATTTTTTTGGCTCTTTTATTTTCATCCATTTTATGTTTATTTGCCTCTTTTATCGTATTTTTACATTTAATACATTATTTTAATAATATTCATTTTAACCCAGTATGTTGCTTAGGGGTTTATTTCGATCTTAGTTCGTAAAATTTCATAGTATTCACATTTGTTACCATGATGCTTGCTGGTTTCGTTATTTGGTTCCTAAAATTGTCATTTTGTTGTTGTTTTGATCACTCACTTTCATGCTTTGTTTATTCTCTGTTATTGTGCATTTCGATCTCCCATGTTTGCATGTTCTAAATTTGGCCCATTAACCTTGGTTATGTTACATATGTATATGCATGACATCATGTATATTTATATATGTGTTGCTGTTTTGTTAAAATACATTATATCTAATATGTATGTGTTTATATATCACCTTATATCATAGTGTTTATATATTCATGTATCTATATACATATATAATTTATAGGTAGTATATGCTCTGTTGTTTTAGTGGCTTACTTATTTATCCATTTATTTATTCATTCAAGTTGAGTTTTGAATTTCTGTGATAAGTGCTTATTGGTAAATCGCTTAATATATTTTCTAAAAAAATAATAAGATAATGATAGTAATAAAAATGATAATAATAAATAAATATTACTTTATGCGAATTATTTATGGAGATGTGACTTAACTAATAAGGAGTGTATCTCCTAGAATTGTTCGTATAAAATGGTATTTATTTACTTGAATAAGTATGTACTATATGTATTTTATCTAAAAAAATTGAGACAATGTTATTTCGTAAGAAGAATCTGGGTAATGCGCCTTAACTTGAAAGGAGAGTGTTCCCGATGATTCTTCATACGAATTGACATCATGTTTACTTGAATATTTTTTTACATATTAAGTATATTTAATTTAACATGAAAACTAAAGTAATGTTATTTTATGTGGGGAATCGGTGGAAATGCATCTTAACTGGAAAAGAGGGTATTTTCAAGGATTGCTCGTATAAAAGAATAACCTTTTTAATTTTTTTTAAAAAGATCATAATTTAAATACCATTCAAAGTTATAATTTTCAAATATAAAGATGACGTGTAATCCCTAGGTACCAATCTTGGGCGCTGTGGGAGTGCTCATCCTTCTCCGTGCGAAACCGACTCCCGAGCCTTTTTTTTAAATGATTTTCTAGTTAAACAGGGATTATCTTTATTTTTTTTAACTTAATTTAAAAAAAGTATTTTAAAAGATAATTTTTAGGTATTTGACTCACCTAACCCAAATGTCGATGTCGACTCTAATTTTTTTTTTCAAAACCCTAGTTTTTAAAATTAAGTTGGAGCGATCCCATCAAAGACCCTCAATCAAAAACTTAAGGATCATTTCGACAAACATATTTTCTCCAAATTCTGACCTACAACAGAAATGTCTACTACCAATATGAACCTCATATTCTTCTCCATACCAATTAGAAGATCTAATTTCACCTCCATCGTCTATCATCATCAGCAATTGCACTTAAACCACTAACATTGAATCCATCACCACTTTGACTTGGCGTTGTATTAGAACTTGAATGGGATAATTTTTTTTTTGTTGAGATTGATCATCAACATTCATTTCATCATCTGAAGTATCCACATGCAACACACCATCATCTGATAGTGGATCAACATCTTCAAAGATATGATCAAGACTGATAGGATTGTAACTAGTGTTTATATCATCAATGCTTATTCTTTTTTGAATCCTCATTTTAAGCCTCATATTATAATATATAAATACTAATTTCTCAAATTTTTTGCACTTCAACCTGTTTTTTTTATTTGGTGTGAATATAGTTGACCGTTCTCCAGTTTCGTTCACAATTTGATGCATAAGTTATTTGACTAAGCACTTTAATTGTTAATTGTTGTAATTTAGAAATGCATGTGACATATATCATCCACCACTCAGATACATAAAATTATTTGAATTTCAAACTAACAGCAAAATGTATAATATAATTAAATAATATAAGGTAAATAATTTAATTAACTATTTACTCAGATTCATTTGATTCCAAGTTCTTTGTGCTTGTGGAGTACTGAACGTCTCGTGTTTACTTAGAAATAGTAACAACGGCATAAATAGAAGTTTGAGTAAAAATGAGAAAAATAATTCAATTTAAAATTATTTAACTAAGTTACAAATAATAGTACTTGAATCTAACTTGATTAACCATTCTGATTTGATTATCAATAGAAGATTCTAATATTTCAACCACTTATTTTGTATCTTCTAATGTTTCTGTCAATATGTTCTCAGAATGCTCCACCCAAATTCAAATTGAGGATTGAGGAAATAACCTAATCATAATTTGTAAGAATATGCCCATATGATAATAATCTAATTTTTAAAATTTAAAATAATAAAATTAAAAATAACTCTTAATTATATTAAATATTTTATCTTACCAACTGAATGCAAGTTGGAATGCATAAAATTTCATCTATTGTCAATAATTCTTTCATACTCGGTGAAATATCGACAATTTTATTTACTCATTTAGCTTTATCAACAGCCTCATAAATAAAGTTCATTGTTGATTTTTCATTGCCACCCACAGGTCTCAACACTTTAACTAGGGGTTTGTAAACTTTTATGATGTCAATGGCTTTTTTCCAAAAATATTTTCCAAAACATTTTATTTGGCTTCATAACCAGGCCCTAGTTTTTATTGTCCCCATTTTGATTCTCTGAATTCCTACATTTTTATAAGAAAAAGATCAATAACATAATTTATTTGAAAATTAAAACTAATAAAATCATTAAATATTAGAAAATACTAACCCTTGAGTTAAACATTTCTCTTATACCTTGTTTTTGCCTTGTTATGTCCTCAAGTTGTATGAAATGAGTAGCGAATCGAGTAAAAGCAGAGTGAATAAGTTGCTTATCGTAAGTATACTTCTTCATCAAATTAACGGTCCAAATGTGATTGTATATGAAGCAAGTCTCTTTCTTCGCTTCCTCCAACGCTTTTCCTACACTAGACTTTTTCCCAATATCCTCAAGGCATAAATTTAAACAGCGAACTACACATGAGGTCCAATAAATATGGTTTCATTTCAACAATAATCTTTTCCTAGCGACTTTCATTACTGTCTCATTGCTAGTCACTATTTGGATAATGTATTCTTTCCAATTTCTTCAACAACTTTATCTAATAAATTGTAGTAGAATTCAACATCTCTACTACGAACACTCGAGACATCCACAAATTTTTAAAATATGGTTCCTTTACTACAATAAACAAGGAAGTTGATGATGTGCATTTGATTTAAATTATTGGTCCAACTATCACACATCAGAGTTGCACCTAATTGTTTCCAATGCGTCTTCAATCCATTTACTCATTCATGAACTTGTTCATACTCCAATGTCAAATATATATATGAAATCTCAAAAGGTTGGGAGCTTTACACATTGTCCAGCTTCCATTGATACTTGAAAATAAAATCAAATTGTAACATTAGATATAATAATAAAAAATAGTTAAATAACCAAAACAAAACAAAAGTGATTGTTGAAGTATTAAATATATAATTTACCCTATTTATAAATTAGTTGGATTAAATTTATAGGGGCAATATATAGTTCAATCCAAACCCGTTGCAATCCTGATTCTATCTTTTTCCGACACACTGAGGTTATCTGTTAACACATAATTTGAACATTACCAAAACTAGGCCTAACAGCTTGTATACTCGTGTACTTGCATGTCATAATTGTATTTAATATAATATATATACGTGTGCAAAAAAATGGACAAAACAAGTGATAGTTGCCTAACTTTAAGGAGTGAAAATACTGTTAATAGCATTGGAATAACAGGCCGATGGAAAAATCATTCGAGGATGACTTTGATTACTTGATCCACTACATCATACGACTACCAAAGTGATGCAAAAAAAAAAAAAAAATGCGGAAGCATGTATAACTTCAACCTGCTGTTGTCGAATATAATCTATCTCACTCGTCTTTCTCGACAAATGATTTGAGTTTCCGCAACCAATCTAAATATCGAGCTTCTTCTTTCTTATGTAGCGTGAGGACTAAGAAATTGGTTAGGTCTTCTCCGATCCCTCTGCTGACAAGACACTTCTTAAGTTCATCTTGTACTTGAGGGTCCAAAGTGCTGCAAACACAAGTTGAAACAATAACAAAATGATCATTTCTTCCATAACACGCCCGTAGACGTTCAACGGATGCTAAGAATTCGCCTTCCATTGTTAATTTAAGGGTAAGGTTCACAAATTATCCCCGATTATAAAGTAATGTTTTGTTGAATCTTCCAACAATTAAAAATTATAAAATGATCATTGAAAATTAAAAGTTATAAAATGATCCCTTAACTATAGGTGTTATTTTGTTGAATCTCTTAATTATTAAAAGTTATAAAATGATTACTCGACTATTCATATGTTCTAAATTCGTCATTCTCCATTAAAAGTTGACGGTCATTTCATCTCAACGTTAACATGTTGATTGAGATATGATAAAATCATCTTTTAATGATATCCATTGAAACCGTTGTTGCTTTCAAGCACTGACTGGATAACAATAATTCAAGCATTGACTGGATGACAATATTTCAAGCACTGATTCTACAACATAATATAAACAGAGAGTCGATCCCCAAAATACAAGTCAAACGATTCTAAGATCAAATTTTATCACATCTAAGTTAACATGTTAATATCCAACTCAAACGACGACCAATCTTTTAATGAAAAAGGACAAATTGGAACTTATGAATAGTCAGATGTTCATTTTATAACTTTTAATAGTCAAGAGACTTAACAAAACAACACCCTATAGTTGAGGAATCATTTTATAACTTTTAATAATCGAGAGACTCAACCAAACAACGCCCTATATTCGAGCACCATCTGTATACTTTACCCTTAATTTAATTAACCCGAGAAACTAAACACCATATTCTCTTGTCCACTCCCGTTTATAGCAATTAACCCATGAAATCAAATAAATTGAAAATTTTGACTATTTATCGGATGAAGGGATATAGAAGAACAAACATTGTAGAACCATAAGTACCATTCTTTACAACATACATCTATTTCATGATAAGTAGAATTCTGAGAGAAGTTTTCACCTGAATGAGGGGCCTCTGTAGACAGAATAACTAGGAATGGTCATTGATTGAAGATGATAAGCACCATGGATGTTGAAGTCAGACCTATGAGCTCCTTTCTTGAAAACTCCACAATGAAACTGCAAAATAGAGCTCAATCCAGGCTTTTTTACACAAACCTTCATTAGAGCTTCCCTAGGAAATATACCCTCCATATAATGTGACCCCTGGCTCAACAAAGCTGAAACAGCAACCTCTTCACCAGACTCCCCTTTTCGCCGCAAAACAACATCCTGTGACTGTGATGAATTCCAATCCATTACAAAATCTCCTAGAGATCCGCTTTGTTCATCCTGAATCAGTATAGAATAAATCCATTTCCCCCATTTTAATAATGCTAGCGTTGCAGGAAGTAAGTTTCTAAGATGTTCAAACTTCAAGATGAACTCTAACTTATCAAGAATTATGTCCACAGCCAATGTGAGGATTTTGAACAATATAAACACATTTGTTTTTTCACATCCATATAATGTATTGAATAAGAGACACTGCAAAATCCCATTGGGGACCCATTGCATATGTGGTATTAGACGTAAAGAGGAGATTGTTTCTCTAAGTATTAAAACTGAAACTGAATGCTCCGGAACATAAAGGAGGCTGCACTTGAGCTTTCAGATAAAAAATTGTTGAAGACGCAAATGAATTGGAAGAAAGCAAATCAAAATAACAATTATTCTACGTAAAAACAACATGAAATCTGTGTTTCAAATTATTATTGTCATTTAATTCTTCGTAATCGTTTTTTTATCAAAACCAACTTCGATCATAAGCTCTATGACCTAAAAATCAAGGAACAAAGGATCAAAACTTTTGTTGGGTGTCTAGAAAACACCTGATGGTATTCAGTAGGCCCGCAAACGAATACGAACAAGGTATATTCATGTTCGTTTATTTAACTTTAACCGAATAAACGAACGAACACGAACAACTAAACGAATAAAATTTATTGTTCAAGTTTGTTTATTAATGAATGTAACTTTTTGATTTTCGTTCGTTAAAATGAAAAATGAATGCAAATGAACAGAAACAAATATAAACAAACATAACCACAACAACAACAACTACTAACTACATAAAATTCAATAATATAAGCTTCAACTTCAGAGTTAATTTGTTTGAGTACTAAAAAGCATGCATGTATCGTAAATAAACCACATGGAAATAATAAATTTAAACAAACAAACATAAACAAACCTAAATGAATAAAAGATCAAATTGTTCATGTTCAATCATTTAATTAAACAAACAAAAAATCTTATTAACATTCGTTCCTTTATACATAAATGAACTTTCCACAGAACAATTCGGCGAACGTTTACAGCCCTAGTAATCAGATTCATGATTAGGCACATCATTCTCAAAGGTTCGTCAAACAAGATACATAAATGAGAAAAGAAAAGAACAAAATAATCTTAAAATCAATGAACAAAGCGTTTATTGGGTCTCCAGTAAACACCTCATCAGAGTAATCAAATTCATGGGTACGCGTAGGCAATGCTTCTGAATGACTTAGTGAGACAAAGAAATTCCAAATCGAAAGGGAAAAAGAAGAACCTGAAAAGAATTGGAGAGTTCGTGGGATATCTCAGATCGTAAGACCATAAGCAAGTTGAGATCCCCCACAGCTTTGCGGCCATTGCGTAAGATTTGATTGGCTCTCGGCATTTCTCTTAACTCTGTTTCTCGGGTCTTGGCCTTCCTAATTTGTGTTTGGCTGATGGCTGAGGGTTAATTGCGGAAGATTATTGAAGTCCAATTCGCCTCTTCTTTTATTTTAGGTCAACTTTCCATTTAGTTTCTAAATTATTTTTTTTTCATTTTAGTATATAATTTTTTATTATTTCATAATCATTCTTAACGTTTAGTTTTTATTTCGTTTTATTATATCGCCGTTAAAAATATAAAGAGTGATTTGCACGTAGCACATTTTTATGGGTAAATTACATCATTCATCACTCAATTATCTTCTCACTTGTATTTTTTTACTAAAGTTTAATTTTTTTAATTTAGTTACTTAACTTTAAAATTACTCTTAATTTAATCACTCTAACTTTCATTTTCAATTTTTTATTTTTAGTTATATATTAATAAAATAATAATAAAAATGTTATGTCACAAAAATTGTTAATAAAATAAATTAGAATGACTAAAATAGGAGCAATTTAAAAGTTGAGTAGTTATATTGATTTTTTTTTTTTAAATTTTAGTACCAAAATAGGAGTGAAAAGATAGTTGAGTGATGAATGATATAATTTACCTATAAAAATGTTGTGTTGTTTTTAATTACGATGTACTAAAATGAAATAAAAATTAAATGTTAGGTATGATTTTTTAAAAAAATAAAAGTTTATTTAGATACTAAATAAGTAATTTACCCTTTACGTTATTTATTTATTTATGTTCGAACCTTGCTTTCTTTTTCAATTAGATACTTGGCAGCCGATATGATATGATATTTATGAGAAAATTATGGAAGTTATATTTTTTAATAATAAAATGGATTTTCATATAACTTACAATAAATGTAATACAATATCATTGTACAATTCAAAGAGTATAAAAAAAATCAAAAACATTTCATTCATCCTCCAAAATTTTTTAAAAATTATTAATAATTTTCTTATATCTATTCAAACTAGACACGATATTGAAAAACTAGATGTAATATTAGAATTCATTAAGTTACATTGGTGACAAAAAAGAAGACATTTACCGTGTGTGCATTATTAGTAGGTTAAAAAAAGTTTCGAACTGATATTACTTTATAATAATTTCATACTATTAAAAAAACAAATATAATCAATATTAATATATGTGTGGAGATAGACAGAAACAATTGACAAACACAAAAACACCAAACTATCAAAACAATAAACAAAACATTGTCATAAAAGGTTTGAAGCACAATCGTGTCATACAAATAGACAAAAAAATTCAAGAATATACGTAAAAAAAATCAAAATGGATAGGATGTTTATTTACATATAAGTCAAAATAAAATTAAACAAAAAAGAAAAAAGAAAAAGAGATACAATAACTTAGCGTGACACTTTAAAAAGAAAAACTTGAAAATCACTTTAAACAAAAAAAATTAGGGTAAAAATACATTTTTAAATAGAAAATATATTACTTTTTGAGATATAATATATATTATAAGTTATTTTTAAAATAAGAAACTAACTTTCATTAAATAAAAAGATAAAGTACGACAAAAGTAATACAATTTCAACATGAAAATTGAAAGGATGTGAAGAAAAATTAAATTAAAACATTATATTGAATATATTAAACGCTCCACAGGCTAACAAAGACTCAAAACAATAAGAAAATAAATAAATAATCAAATGAAAAGGAGCACTTAATTTTATTCGGTGTGTTTTAGAAACCTAACACAAAGCTTTCTTATATATGCACTTTAAATACATAACCTTCAAAACAAATTAAAGCTTACAAATTAAATTTACTAACATTAATTAAAATATAGCATTAACTTAATTTAATATTTGGTTTTGATATTTTAACACTCCCCCTCAACATCAATTTTCATGTCGAGCTAATGGAAGAAGCTTTTGAGCTTGTAACCACCCAAGTTTTTTGTGAATAGGTATGTCACTTGGTTTTTTATCTTCATATGTTCAAGTTTAATTTCTTTTTTCAAAATTTTTTCGCTAACAAAGTGGTAGTGCATCTCCACATGTTATGTTCTTGCATGAAAAATCGAATTCTCAACTAAGCGTATGGCTGAGAAGCTGTCACAATATAGAGTGAATGGAAAATCCGCTTGTTAATGCAATTCCTTCAACAATTACAAAGTCAAGTTCTCTTTTGAGGTACCATTGTTGCTGCATGATACTCTACTTCGGTAGTTGACAAATACATTGTAGGTTGTTGTTTGCTATACCAGAAAATTGCTTCATATCTAAGAATAAACACATATCGTATTGTTGAGCGTCAAGTATCGTTGACACCGTCACTGACATATTCAACATCATGATAGCCAACTATCTTGCAATCTTTGTCTTTTTTTTTTGTATTGAATACCATGATTAACCATACTCTTCATGTATCTCAAAATTCGTCGAACTATTTACAAAAGAGATTTCTTTGAATTTTGAATTCAACAACTCACAATGCCACATGTAAAACAAATATTTGGTCTTGTTAAATTAATTATATAAGACTACTAACTAATTGCCAGTACAATGTAGCATCTTCTAAATCTTTCCAGTCATTAGCACAAATTTGACATTTAGTTCCATCAGGATAAAAAGCGACTTACAATTGAGCATTCTATACTTTTTCAATACATCATGGGATACTTTCTATGGTGGAGAAAAATTTCTTCCTTAATGTGATCAATCTCTAGATCAGGAAATTTTTAAATTGTTCACGTTTTTTCATTTAGAAGTAAATTGATAAATTCTCCCTAATTCAAAAAACTTTTTCCTCAAAATCTCCAATGATGATTAAATTATCCACATATAATAGCACGATAACTATTATTTTTTCATCTGCTTTCACGAATAAACTAGAATATGAAGGAGCCACATAATAGCCACTATAAGTTAGAAATTCTAGACTTGTTGAATGTAATCACCATTTTTATCCCAAAAATAAATCATAATATAATTAAAAAAATCAAATCAATCCATGAATATCTGGGACATTCAATGTCCCGACTGTTGAACTGCCCACTATGCCACCATCTCCCTACCATCTCCATGTCGCCATCACTATGCCACCAAATCCCAGCTCAGCTACAACAGTCACAAGTAGAGCAACAAAAGAAGAAAAAATGTAACTTTTTTTAAGATCTAATCCGAGTTCTATATAAACCCACAAAAATATGTAAAACAAAGGACCCATGTATTCGAAGCAATACACAGAGAAATAAAAACGTAAGTTTTTTCATTTTTTGCATATACGGAAATACTTAAAAGCAACAAAAACAACCCATTCAAACCAAACAAGCATTTTTCATTTTTCCTTATTCATTCAAGTTAATCAAATAAGAACAAAAAATGAAAAAAAGAAAGAAGGAGGAATATACCCAATCCGAATGGTGAGAAGGTGTAAGGTATCCCCATAAGCAACATATTGAAAAACCAGCTCGATTTGACGGTGGACGGAGGAGATCGAGGAAAGCCTCCTTGGAAATTTTGGGTTTCGATGACTACCGGAATATGGCAGCGAACGACGTTAGATGCGGTGGCACATCCACTTGGTTTCTGGAGAAGTATAGAGAGAAGAAAGAGTTTCTCTCTAAAAAAAAGAGGAAAAGAAATGATAGAAAAATGAAAAAAATGTGATAAAGAGTATTTATACCCAAAGCAAAATGGCACCGTTTTGGGACCATACCTGTGCATTTTGGCCTCTGATGGCCAAATCATCTCCGCAGCCATTTCACATTTTCTTTCTTTCAATTTAGTCACCATTTTCAACTTAGTTCGTAATTTTATTAAATTAGATTGTCCTTATTTTGTTATTTTTCCATTTTATGTTATAATGTTAACTTTTGGCTTATTTACTTTTAAGGGAATTCTAGCTTTGCCATGTTCTTACGTTTTGGTAACTGGGGTCTTGTTTTGTTGGTTTACTTTGGTTTTGACTCGTTATTCTTATTTGATTTACTTTAGTCATCTGTTTACTTTGATTTATTTTAAATTGATCCATGTTTCTTTATATATTATTTCATTTTAGTCAATAATCAGTTCTATTTTCTTTATTTATTCATGAATTTGGTGTTGTATTTTCAATTTATGCATTTTGATCATTGTTTACTTCTGATTTGGCATACTATTCTTTTATTTTATTTTATTTTATTGCATTTTGGTCCTTTATTGTTTATATTCGAATATATTTGAATTATTCTACAACTGTGCGATGACCCGCCCTAGGGTGTGATTCGTGTTATTCATGGTTCGAGTAACAATTAAAAATCAATCCCTAACTTCTAATTTTATATTCGATTGTTTAATTATTGTTATTTTAACTTTTCCCTTTGGAATTCTATTATTTTAATTTCTTCTTAAAATTATTAATTGTTTACGTTTTAGTCATTTCAATTCCAGCTTTTAATTTTTTGCATTGTCTTAATTTAAGTTTTATATTTTGATTTATTTCATTTTAGTCCTTTACTTAATGTTTTAATTTCAACTTTTCATTTTTATTTATTTTAATTTAGCATTTTTGTATTCACTAATTGCTTTTAATTTTTGTATTTAATTTCAATTTCTTTAATCTAGTCTTAGAATTTTAGGTTTTAATTTAAATCTTTTGATTTATATTTAGAATATTATAGTACTAACCTAGATTACTTAGATTGTAGGTCAAATCTTTAAATTTAGATTCCTTTAAATTTGGGTCCTTAAACTTTTAATTTAGGATAATTTTTGATTTGGTCATCGCTTATGCTTGAGGTTCCAAATTAATTATTCGATAGTCCATAATTAATGAAAATTAATAAGGATTAATATTAGAGCCTCAATCTTAGGCCCAATTTCACCTTTTGTCCTTAAATTATGAGAATTCTTAATTTGGTCATAACTTTTGCTCAAGGTTCCAATTTAATTATTAGACTCTCATAATTGATTTAAATTAATTTAAGTTAATATTAGGGTCTACATTTTCAGCTTTGGGCCCTAGGTTCTTTAATTTTCATAATTTGACACTTTAAGATAGAGAAAACCTTAATCTACCCTTATTTCAATTAG